GAGAGAGAGAGAGAGAGAGAGAGAGAGAGAGAGAGAGAGAGAGAGAGAGAGTGTAGGTATTTTCCTCAAACACACTTACTTGTAAGAGTGACCCTGTAACTGTCCGTCCGCCCACAACCATCAGTCTCCACATAAGAAAGAGTGGCGACCTCAACTGTGATAGGTTGTGTCACCGTGAGCTCCAAACATCCGTCGGTGTTTGTATTCGTCTGACCAGCCACGCTGATCGTGAGAGTGTACCCAGGTAGCAAGTTCGCCACACAGAACTTGAGTGTCACATTCCCTGAGCCACTCACAGGCACGTTTTGGTTAGTCGGCAGGTCAATGGGTGAGCATCCGTCCACTTGAAGACTGGCGGTCCTGGTATCTGAAAACAGTATACAGTACAGGGAGAACTTCATTGCTTTTTTTGCTGTTGGTATGTTTGTATGTCTGTATTATCTGATGTGAATGTACATTTTGTCAGCTTTACTTCTCTTTTCATGTTGAATTTTAATGACAGTAATATATAGTTTAAATTTTTAATGTATACCTGCATGTGTTTTTACGGCCATGTACAGCCAAGAAAAATTTCCCCCTCGGATAATAAAGTATTATCTTATCTTATCTTGTCTTATCTTGTTGGGGTTTTAAAAAAAATCATTATTACAGTTTATTTTTGTTCAATGTAGGCGCGACAAAATTTAGACCATGATTTAAGGAGGGTGATGGGCTTCCAACACTGAAGGAGCGTGATGGGCTTCCAACACTGAAGGAGGGTGATGGGCTTCCAACACTGAAGGAGGGTGATGGGCTTCCAACACTGAAGGAGGGTGATGGGCTTCCAACACTGAAGGAGGGTGATGGGCTTCCAACCCTGTCTGTCAGAGCCACTCCTGGCTGAAAACATGGTGAAATGGTACGGGTTTAACGCCCTCTCAACACTATTAGGTTATTTAAAAGGCGGGACCTCCTAGTTTAACGTCCATCTCCGATAGGACCGAGCCAAGTGGGAAGTTCGTGGAAAGTGCCTTTCCCAAGGACACAACGTCCGACCGAGCTGAGGCTTGAACCCCCAACCCACAATCTCACGATGACGAGTCTGGTACCCGGGCTGAGAGGGATTCAAAACCCCATAGGAAGACAGAAGATACTTGAAAACCAAACTCCAGTCTCCCGCATGCGGCAGCAAAGTGTCTATCCGCTACACCACAGATAACGATAAGACAGCTACTCAGCTGCCGACTTTTTCAAAACCAAAACACAGATTCTACCCACCCACAAAGCGGGTCAAGATGGCGGGCACTGGTAAAAAAATCCACATTTACAGATTTCTGTACCGAGATCCTCCGTCTTTCATCTTTCTTCTTCTTCTTGTACCACCTTGGGTGTCGAGGGGAGAAAGAGTTTTCGGTCTCTGGCAAGCTAGATGGCCTGGCTGGGTGGGATGTTGGGAGTCTTCTGTGTGTCCTTCACACCCTCGATCCAGGTCTTCCTTGGTCTTCCTCTTGTACTTGTACCATGATGTTCTTTTGTTGTACACTTTACTAGCTAGCTGGTGGCCTGTGCCATACGCGTCAGACGGCTAAACCACCTGATTGTTTGCCCCTGAAGGTAGCGGAGGACAGGTGTCGTTCCCACCATTTCTCTGATCATGTTGTTTCTGATCATGTCCCGTCTGGTTTTGTTGACGGCTTTTGTTTAAATTTAGGCCTAAATGGTTTTAGAGTAAGGATTTAAGAAAAGAGAGAGAGAGAGAGAGAGAGAGAGAGAGAGAGAGAGAGAGAGAGAGAGAGTGTAGGTATTTTCCTCAAACACACTTACTTGTAAGAGTGACCCTGTAACTGTCCGTCCGCCCACAACCATCAGTCTCCACATAAGAAAGAGTGGCGACCTCAACTGTGATAGGTTGTGTCACCGTGAGCTCCAAACATCCGTCGGTGTTTGTATTCGTCTGACCAGCCACGCTGATCGTGAGAGTGTACCCAGGTAGCAAGTTCGCCACACAGAACTTGAGTGTCACATTCCCTGAGCCACTCACAGGCACGTTTTGGTTAGTCGGCAGGTCAATGGGTGAGCATCCGTCCACTTGAAGACTGGCGGTCCTGGTATCTGAAAACAGTATACAGTACAGGGAGAACTTCATTGCTTTTTTTGCTGTTGGTATGTTTGTATGTCTGTATTATCTGATGTGAATGTACATTTTGTCAGCTTTACTTCTCTTTTCATGTTGAATTTTAATGACAGTAATATATAGTTTAAATTTTTAATGTATACCTGCATGTGTTTTTACGGCCATGAACAGCCAAGAAAAATTTCCCCCTCGAATAATAAAGTATTATCTTATCTTATCTTGTCTTATCTTGTTGGGGTTTTTAAAAAAATCATTATTACAGTTTATTTTTGTTCAATGTAGGCGCGACAAAATTTAGACCATGATTTAAGGAGGGTGATGGGCTTCCAACACTGAAGGAGGGTGATGGGCTTCCAACCCTGTCTGTCAGAGCCACTCCTGGCTGAAAACATGGTGAAATGGTACGGGTTTAACGCCCTCTCAACACTATTAGGTTATTTAAAAGGCGGGACCTCCTAGTTTAACGTCCATCTCCGATAGGACCGAGCCAAGTGGGAAGTTCGTGGAAAGTGCCTTTCCCAAGGACACAACGTCCGACCGAGCTGAGGCTTG